GTGACCCGAGGCCAGGGGTGCCACAGGTGCTGCTGCCCACACCCCTACCTCCTGTGTCCACCCTGGCCTTGTCCTGGGGCCACAGCAGGCCCCCCCGAGACCCCGGCCCTCGGCCCCAGGACAGGTGGACAGGAGACCTGCTCTGGCTTATGCCCTGCCTTGCAGCACGAGGGCATCTGTACCTTCCCGTCCGTGGAGTTCTACAATGGGAAGCTGAAGACCTGGCAGGGCCTGAGGCGGCCACCCAGCGTCCTCGGCCACAGTGACAAGGAGAGCTGCCCTGTCATTTTTGGCCACGTGCAAGGCCATGAACAGAGCCTACTGGTGTCCACAGATGAAGGGAATGAAAACTCCAAGGCCAACCTGGAGGAGGTAACAGAGGTGGTGAGTGTCGGTGAGGCCTTTCCTGCTGCCCCTTGGTCATGGAGGGCTTCCTGGAGGAGGAGGCAGAGGAACCAAGGGAACAGGTGAGGCTCCGGTGCCCAGGGTTAGCTTCGACAACACCCTCTTGGTCCCTCAGGTCCGCATTGCCAAACAGATGACCCTGGGCAGGACAGTGGACCCCAAGGACATCGCAGTTCTCACTCCCTACAACGCTCAGGCTGCGGAGATCAGCAAGAGTCTCCTGCGGGAGGGTGTCGCTGGAGTGACTGTGTGCTCCATCTCCAAGAGCCAGGGTGAGGGTGGCTCTGGGGCAGGGGGCACGTGGGCCAGCGGGTCACGAGGGAGGATGCAAGCAGCACGGTCAGCGGCAGCTGGCAGGGGCCTCAGCATGCCTGCCTAACTGCGCAGGAAGCGAGTGGCGCTACGTGCTGGTGAGCACGGTCCGCACGTGCCAGGAAAGTGACCTGGACCAGCGGCCGACTAAGAGCTGGCTTAAGAAGTTCCTGGGCTTTGTTGTGGACCCCAACCAAGTGAACGTGGCCATCACCCGGGCCCAAGAGGGGCTCTGCCTCATCGGTGGGACAGCTTGGCTGGCGGAGGGCTGGGGCGGGGCTCCCCCCTGGGGGTGCGGCTGCTTGGCTGGGGGTGGGGAGGGCGGGGGCGGGGCTCCTCCCTGGGGGCGTGGCTGCTTGGCTGAGGTGAGAGGGCTGGGGGGGGGGGGGGGGCCCCCCGGGGGGGGGGGCTGGGGGGGGGGGGGGGGGGAGGACGGGGGCGGGACCGGGGTCTACCATGGACTCTTCTCCCCTCTCCCCACCCCTGCAGGAGACCACCGCCTCCTGCGTTGTTGCCCTCTCTGGCGTAGATTCCTGGACTTCTGTGAGGCCCAGCAGAGCCTTGTGCCCGCCAACCAGGTGCGAGTTCGGAAGAGGCCAGCCGTGTCTCCCTGAAGAGCCCTCTCCACCTGCCCACCGCTCTCAAGCTGCCGGGACTTGGAGGAAAAGACCGTGCCCTCTTCTGAGGGCTCCCTAGTCAGGCACCACTCAGGAGCATCCCGTGTGCCTTCGGTGGGCACTGTGGCCACCCCGCCTATCGGACTGGGTCTCTGAGGCCAACTTCTGAGCAATAATCTCCTTCTGGAGTCTTGGCCTCTCCCCAGGGCAGAGAGCAGGCCAGGCCCCACCATACCGATGTGCTGTGCGCCTGCACTGGGGGGGAAGAATCCCTCTCTCCCTACTGAGCCTTTCGTCTGGAAATCTGGTGACAGGGGACATCTCAGGGGTCAGGGGCTCGGGGAGGTCCTCTGGACCTTCTGGTGTTACTAGGAAGGCTTGGGGTCAGAAGGAAATCCTGCTGGGGCTACTTTTTGGTCTTTGAGCACCATCCCTGAGACACTGGGCGCTGGCTGTGGAGCTCAGCGTTTCCTTTTTTCCCTTTCTCACTTCCTTCCTTCCTTCCTTCCTTCCTTCCTTTCCTTCTTTCTCTCTCTCTCTCTTTCTTTAAAGTAAGCTCCATGCCTAACGTGGGGCTTGAACTCATGACCCTGAGAGTAAGAGTTGCCTGTTCTACCGAGTCAGCCAGGTGCCCCTATTTTCTATTTTTAAATAAACCCAAAACCAGTGTCTTTATTACTGGAACAAGGTCCTTCGCCCAAACGTAGGGCCAAGAGGCCTCCCTGGAAGAGAGGGCCTTTCCTCTGTCATCACTGCTCCACCTGACTGGGGCCCACAGCCCTGTGTCCTCTCAGGAGGAAGGGCAGAGCAGAACCAGATGCCCGCACAGCCCCGCCTATACCGGGCGGCACCCCTGCGGTGTGTGGGCGGGGGCTGGGACTGAGCGCCCCCTGGATGGGCAGCCTTGTGCCTTCACCCTGAGCTTTCCTCCCCTTTACAACCTCAAGCCTGCTCCTGGTTCAGGGCCTTCAGGACAACCTGTGCTGCGAGTCTGTCTTTGCAAGGTTGAGGACCTTCACCTGCCTCTCAGGGTGTATTTATATCCTGCTTTTTCTGGAAACCTCTTGCCTCAATATCAGCCCTCACCTCGGGCCACCCCAGACCCCAGCACCCCCCACCACCACTTCCACGGTCCCCACGGCCTGAGGGTTTGCTGCAAACAAGCCGCTTACTCTAGGAGGGGTGTGCCCTCTCTGTGGCCTTACTGAACCCTCTGCTTGCGGGGGGAGGGGCGGGGGGAGGATGTGTCTATGCGTTCCGCGCTTTCTACAAATCCAATTTTTACATTCCAATTTTTATATCTTTTCTTTGGCTCTGTGTTATATGATTGAATAATAATTTTATTACAAAGACCACTCTGAAAGTTCTCCCTTCTGGGTGTTTGAGGTTTTATTGGGGGGCAAGGAGGGGTGGCCCCTCCTCTTGGGTCACAGGGTGGCTACCCAGTCTGTCAAGAGTCAGGAGCCCATTACAGCCAGATGCCGGACAAGCGAGCTCGGAGAGGCTGGCATCGCCACGTCACAGCTCTCGGCCTGCCGGGAGGGTGGGGCGGGGGGCGGCTGACTTGGTGAGGGTGGGCTACAGCCCCAAGCTGTGTCCAGGGAATTTGGGCAGGGCCTGCCTACTGAACTCTGACCCCAAGCAGGGCTGGCTTCACAGTCCAAGTCCAGAGTCCCCGCGGCTGCCGGTCCTGCTGGAGTCCTGCAGGGTCCAGGCTCTGACCCTGGACCAACGCCCACCCCCTCCAGGCCAACTTGGGCTACTCAGGACTCGGCATGCTTGTGGCCGAGCCCCCAGAGCCACAGCACCGGCTGTGCGGAGGAAGGCACGCCAGGGCCCGGGCCTCCCTAGATGCCAGCATGGGTCTCGGCAGGGATTGGAAGTCACAGAGAATCAAAGAGAAAAGGAGTCTCTAAGGCCCGTGTGTTCACTGTGGGACTGCAGAGGGGCCACGCGGCCTTATCTGGAAGAGCAGCCATCCAGGCTCGGAGAAGTTTTCCTGGCTGGTGAAAAGCAGTTGAAAGGAGGACGGACAGGGGCCCCGAGGCGGGAAGTCAGAACCTCTCAGCCTGGAGTCAGGGAGGGCTTCACAGAGGAGGGGGCGTTGACGACCCGAGGGCACGGGCAGTGGCGCCCAGAGGCAGCGTTCGCGAGCCCGGTGGCTGGTGGAGGGTCAGCCTCGTCCCAGGGAGAGTCGCGGTTTCGAGTTAGGGGTGATCTTGTTCCAGGCAGCGAACCCAGCGAGCCGGAGCTGAGAAAAAGCGCCTGGCCCTGTGTGCGGCCGTTCAAAGACTCGGGAACCCCAGGCCGGCGCGGTGCGGTCGTCTCAGAGCGGGCACCTGAGTGGGGCCGGCCTCTGTGTAGCTGCCTTCCTTGGTGAGGGCTGGAGGCACCCCCCCATTCTGCCTCATTCTCGGTGGGACGGTGTGACCCCGCACAAATCCTGATCTCTGATCCCTGCTCTGTCCGCTCTACCCTGTGCCCTGCCTCACCACACGCCATTTGCTAGGAGCACCCTGGCTCTGCCCGGAACACCCTCCAGCCCCCCACCCCCGGAAGCCTTGGGATGACCAGACCCTGAGGAACGTCCAGGAGTGTCCGCCCCATAGCCACATGATGTCACAGAGTGTGTGACAGTCTGACTTGAGCCCCTGGATGATGTGGGCCAGCACACCCATGCCGCAGCAGCACACAGTGGGTCAGCAACTGCGGACGCCTGGGAGGACCCACCCCACCTCTCAGAGAGCACGGCCTATGGCTGGGGGGCAGGTCCTGGGGCCTTTCCGACCCAGTGGGGGGCCTGCTCTGTCCAAACCTGCCTCTGTCCAAACCACTTCTCTGCCAGTGGAGGAGAGAGTCCCTCCTCCTGGTCATCCTGCCCTATGTTCTCAGAGGGCCCACTGTCCCAGTGACCACCACGGTACGCGGGCGGGCAGCTCATGAGATGTCAGCGTCCCGACAGTCCCCCTCGGCCGGGACTCGTGGCGCTGGCCACCCTGGCCCCAGACCCAGCCAAGCTGCGGCAGGAGCCAGACGCATTCGCCCGCCCCAAGCAGTGACCAGGAGGGAGTGAGCTGCTGGCCACACTGGTGGTCACATGACCACACCGGAGGGCGAGGACAGACCATTGAGGCAACGATCTCACGGTTCGTGATTTCCAGCCCCACACTGGGCTCCATGCTGACAGTGTGGAGCCTACTTGGGATTCTCCTTCCCTCTCTCTCTGCCTCCCCGCTCTCAAAATAAATAAAACTTAACATATATTTTACAATAAAATAAAATAAAATAAAATGTCCTCTTGGCCTTGGTGCCAACTCCAGTGAAGCTGGGAGCAGTAGTATGGGGCATGGCTGCCCCCATCGAGATTACTGTACCCCCTGGAGACGGGCCAAGGACACAGGAAAGGACGGGCAGAGCCAGGCTGTTGTGATGGAGCGGGAAGGAGAGATGTGGGAGCGGCTGGGCCCACGCGGCAAAGCCCCCGAGAGGCTCTCCTTCACTGGCGGTGGTAGCCAGTCGCCGGGGCGATGCTCCTTTCTCCAGGGGTCAGCTCTCCTGGAAGGTCCAGCCCCGGGCCCGACCCGGGAAAGGGGGCTGGAGCCTGGGGGGCCTGGGGCTGGAGGGGAGGCTGGCCGGAGTCCAAAGAAGCACTCACACGGCTGCCGCTGCCTCTAAAACGTAAGCAGGTTTGCTTCTTTAATGTTGTGTGTGTGTGTGTGTGTGTGTGTGTGTGTGTGTTTATACTCCTCTTCACTAGTGGATAAATATTAGAAAATCATCTTTCGGAAAGCGTGGTCAGGGGCGGGCCTGGCTTGCCCGGCCGACTGGGGGTGGGCCCTTTGGGGGGCCCCGGCCTGGTCTGCAGCGTGAGGCTGTCCCGCCAGGGCTCATACACCAGCGTGTAGCTGTCAGCTCTCTTGACGGTGAAGTTGTAGGAGCGGTTGGGCATCAGGTTGTGGATGTCGAAGGTGCAGGCGGCCACGGGGATGATGCCACACTGCGTGCACTCCTGCTGTGTCCGCGGGTCCAGCAGCTTGAAGCGGAGCTCAAACTGCTCCGGCACCACCGGCTGGATGGTGGCAAACCACCGCAGGCTGACCCAGTCCTGGTGGGCCACCGACTCCTTTCGGTCGAACATGACGGGCATCTTGGTGCTTAGCATGAGCCGGATGTGCGGGATCTTGGTGGCACCGACGTCGGACACCAGGCGGTGCTTCATGTGCAGGCGCCCAGGTACCGTCATGGCCAGGAAGCTGTCCATGACAGCCGCCAGGTCCGCCAGCCTGCGCTCCACCAGCCCCCAGCCCGCCAGGAAGGGCTGCGGGTCGGGTGACCCCAGCAGAGCGCCCAGCTCGGCGCGGCCGCGGTCCAGCTGCTCCAGCAGGTCCGTGAGCAGGAGGAGCTGGATCTTGGTCTGGGCCGCGCCCACCTTCTTCATGCGCTGAAACTTCCAGGGGTCGATGAGCTGGAACATGGCGGTGGGCAGCACCAGCGGGTTCTGGTCGCCCAGGGCCAGGTGCTTGGGGAGGATCTCGATGTAGTAGGAGCATTTCTTGAGCAGCTCCGTGCGGGCGTGGTGGCGCCGGAGCAGGTGGGGGCTCAGGTCGGAGGTCAGGAAGCCGCGCAGGGCGGTGCGGCGCTCCATGTAGGTCCTCCAGGCCTCCGGTTCCAGCAGCTGTGGATCGTCAGCCTCCTTCGCCTCCTCCTGGTCCAGGAAGGACGGGGGACTGTCCAGCTTCATCTTGTTCAGGCCCAGGCCCGTCACCTGCAAGCTCATTGTCTGGGAGCAGGGGCGGAGGGCGGGGTGTGAGCTGAACGTCAGTTGGCCTCCGCCACCCGCCCAGGGGCTCCCTCAGGGCAGGATTTGTGTGTGGGGGTGACTTCGGGCCCACTGCCCTCCCTACGGGTCCCTCTGTCCTCCCCTGGGCCGGGGGGGGCGGGGGGAGCTTGCGGGGAGAGCATGGCCCTCTGCAAAGAGCCTGATGGAGGGCCAGGCCGGCAGGCTGCAGACGTGCATAAAGTTGGACACCGAGGGGCCAGCACTCCACTGACGGTCAATCGTGATGGCACAGGGAGGAGCTGATACAATGAGCTCTGGGGCAGAAACCCCAGCCCACTGACCAGCTGCGTGGCCTGGCCAAGGTCTCAGTTCCTCGTCTGAGTGGGGTGAAGGTGCTCCCTTGGGACAGTCGAGAGGATTCAGTGTGATCCTGTGTGTGCTGCACCAGACTCCCCCTTGGGGACACCACTGCCCTGTAGACCTTCCATGCCTGGCTGCAGGTGCAGAGCAAAGTGCCAGGGCTCACCCAGAGACAAGGCCAGTTGGTGGCTGGAGCCAGCGAGGGTGGCAGGGTGGCCCCAGCCTCAGCTCGGAGGGATAATCGCGCCGGCTCCTAGTTACCGGGTCCACGCTCTCTACCTTTAACGAGCTCACTGCACACAAAACCCCTCAGAGTGGTAAGGTCCCCTGACCTCATCTCACAGATGGGGCGCCTGAGGCTGACATGCTTCGGAGTTTGCTCTCAGTTCAGGGTTTGACCCCAGCCGTCAACTACAGAGCCTGATTCTCCTGTGCTACTCCTGCCTGGGTTCCCAGCTCTGGGGGGGGCCGTGGAGGGGCCGGTGCAGCTGTCCTTCCAGGACCGGGACACAAGGATTGGCCCTGCAAGCTGGGGCTCTTTGGAGAAGGTGCCAGCAATCTGGCTGGCGTCCCGGGTCCCGGCCACCCCCAGGGCAGTGAGATAGCCGCTGGGTCAGCACCACGTGGGAGACCTCAGGTTGTCCCAAGGGTTGGATGAACTATGAAGACAGCTCACAGGTTGAGTGACCTGCCCAAGGCCACACCCGCTAAGTGACAGTGAGGTCGGGACCCAAGTCTGCCTCCCTCCCCAGAGGCCACCTTCCGGGGGCGCAGAAACGAGTGCAGGCCCTGGGCACCACCATAAAGGTACTGGGGTGCAGTGAAGCGTGCCTCTAGCAATCCCAGCCCGAGTCCTGTTGGCCCCTGGGTCTCACCACCGGTTCAGGGATGCCTCCCAGGCTGTCAGTCGGAAAAGCGCCGCGGGGCTGCTGGTGAGTTCTGGGGAAGGGGCCGCTCTGTGCCGGGGGCCGGGCGCCCAGACCTACACCCTCCCGGGCCTTCCAGAAGCCCCAGACACCTCCCCCGTCGCCTCCCCCAGCAACCTGCCCTCCTCCCCGGCCCGCGCCCAGCCTCTTGGCGCGCCCACTTGCCCTGCCTCCCGGAGCGGAGAGAACCACGCGGCTGACTGTGCGCCCAGCGCGCACCTCCGAGGCCCGCGGGTTGCCATGGGGACCGCGGGCCTTTGTGACGCCCCGCCCGTCTCCAGGGTGGAGCGGGAGCCCAGGGCCCAGGGGTGCGGGGAGACGTCGCCGGGGGGGCGGGGGCGGGGGCGGGGGCGGGGGCGGGGCGCTCTCTGGTCTCAACACCCAGACGGGAGCCACTGGTGTCAGCCTCCGGTCCCGCCCCCCACCCTGGTCTCAGGTGCCAGGAATTATCTGGGGGCTTCGTTCCCTCCCGAGGAACCTGGGGTAACGCGCCCTGCGCCCTGACTTGGGAACCACCTCGAGTGGCTATTCCAAAAGCCAAGCCTAAAGTAGGGTTCCCGGAGAGCAGTAACTGAGGCTGGCTGTCCCGTCCCTCTGCGAGTGCCCCTGTCCCAGAGTCCTGTGGACACAGTGCTCACGTGGGGCTGCCAGAGCCGGGGGGAGGGGGAGGAGTGCTAGTGGGGAAGAGGGCTCCTGCTCGTGTCCCAGCCCGAGACCTGCTCCAGGAAGCCCTGGGAGGACCTGGGGGGAGCAGCAGTGACCTCGGAGTGAACACCTGTCACCGCAGGGAACAGCGCAGGGATCAGAGCAGCCTTTCCTGCGACAGCAGGCTTCCTCTCCCACCTCTGACAGTGCGGGGGTGCTGGCGCTGCTCATCTACCTGGGTCTGGACGAACGGGGTCTCCACAGTTCCAGGGAGCCTGTCAGAGGGGTTCTCAGCCCCCTCCGTGACCCCATCTGTAGCCCCCAGCTGGACTCAGGACCTCTGGGCTCTCTCAGCAAGCCTGGGGCCTCCCTCAGGCAGTAGTCAGTCTCAGATACCCAAGACACTCGTTGTGCCCCTTTGGGAGAGGCGGGAGGGAGGGAGGGAGGGAGGGAGGGAGGGAGGGAGGGAGGCGGGGGAGGGAGGGAGGCTCCCCGGGTCTCTGTCCTCGGGGGACGACAGAGGTGGCTCCCTCCACTGCACCCCTCCCCTATGGCTGGCCCCGCTCTCGCGAGGAGGCTCCCCTGGCTGGGCGTCCATCAGTTTACCCTCAGGCCCAGGCCTGGGTATGGCGCCCCCAGGAGGTCAGACCTGGAGGGGGGCCGGTGGGTGCGTTTCTGCCCTCCCCTCTCTGTTCTGGGCGTTCAGTAAATGCTGTTGGTGTTGTTATTCAGGGGTCTGAGGATTATTTGGATTATTTGGAAAGGGGGGTGCTGTCTGAAGGTTGAGGGGGAGGCTGGCACCGAAGGGGGGCGGGGGAGGGAGATGCCCGGCCCCCGCAGAGGGGACAGAGACGCCCCTGCCCCCACCCTGTTCTGGGCATGTCTGGGACTTCTGCCGTCTCCTTGGTCCCACCCCCTTTTTTCTGTTTAACTTTAAAAAATTAGCCTCTTCTTTTTCTTTTCAAATTTCGATTTAAGTTCTAGTGAAAAATTAAACTCAGTTTTGAGAGAGTTGCAGATTCTCATGCAGTATAACACAGTCCACATACTCTTGTCCCGTTCAGAACATCTGGTCACAAAGGGCCACCCAGGACGGTGACGGTGACCCGGCAAGAGCAGGACTGGTCCATCCCGCAGGGACCCTCACATGGCCTTCTGCCACCACCCCAAGCCCTCCTTTCCCAAGCAACCACTAACGTCACCTCCATTTCTGCAGCCGTGTCCTTTCCAGAATGCTGTGTAAGAGAGCTGGATGCTTTTGGGGACTGGCTCCTTCGCTGGGCATATTTCCCTTCATCGCTGAGCGACCGTGCCTGGCATGGATGGACCAGTCTGCCCAGCGCTGTGTGCCGCCACTTGGTCCTAGGAGCCGCGAGGGTGGGGAGCCCGGTGGTAGTGAGATCACGGGGGGAGGGTTCACCTCCACCGCAGGCCCCCATTATGTGTCCTCCGGAAGATGAAGCGAACCCACGGTGTGGTACTCTGGGCTGCCAGCCTCGGCCCGGATACCCAGGGGGCCCCCTCCTCATCCCGGCAGATCTGGTCTGAACCCTCACTCGGCCCCTGCAAGCCCAATGCTCTTAGAGATGGGGACGCGGAGGCAGAGAGGTCTAGCACCTTACCCGAGGCCATACGGCTAGTGAGCCTGACAGCAGGGCTAGAACGCCGTCATCTGACCCCGTCCAGGGTTGGGGGTCCTCTCCCCCCTTCACACACCTCTACACCCCCCGCCCCATCCAGCACTGTCTCTGTGGTCAGGGCCGATGGAGGGCGTGAGTGGCAGAGTCAGGGCAGGGACCGTCCTGGGGGCCTGGACGCTGCTGTGTCAGGTGGGTGAGGTGAGAAAGGGAATGGCAGGTCCCAGAACCTGGAGGCCGGAGGGCAGGCAGGGAGCCCCGAGAGCCGCCAACGACAACACGGACACAGGTGGCTCTCGCTGCCGGCTGCCTGATGCCGGGTGTGTGTGGTGCCGGGGCGGCGGGCCGTCTGGGGGTTTGTGGGGTGAGGGGACGGGAGAGGGCCCGGGCAGGGGTTGCCAGGCGCGGGGTGCTCCCTGCAGAGCCCGCTGCGCGGGGCAGACGAGGAGGAGGACCCGTCCTGGTCACCGGGAGGTGGGGCAGGCATTCTCTGTGAGCCGGGTCCCCACCGCCCAGCACAGGTTCCTGCTAGAAAATGTCCCTGTTCTGACCTTAACGAGGTGGACTGAAGCTTCCTTCCTCACCTGTAGGATGTCCTGGAGGTCTTTATAGCGGGGAGAGGGTGGGCAGCCCACTGGGCTCTTTCCTTTGGGCACCAGGCCTGGGGCCAGGCCCGAGGATGAGGAGGAACCTTCCCTGCCTGCTCTGGCCACCAAATGAACGTGCTGATCCGAGAGCCTGGGGCTCTGGGGCTCGGAGGGACTGGGAGTGTCCAGAAGGAATCTGTGTCCAGTGCTCGGAGCGCTTGACCCCAAGCACGGTCAGCACAAGCAGGGCCCTTCCAGGACCCGAAGAGGCCTCCCTGCACCAGGTGGGTCAAAGACAGGAAGCATGGCTTCCCAGGAGGAGAGCAGCGCAGGCATAAAGGACTTGAGGGGACCCGTGTGCGAAAGGCAGACTCGCCCAGGGATGGGAGGAGCAGGTCGTGGGTGTGGCGGCAGGGTCGCCAAGCGGCTGGTGGAGTGGAAGCTCCAGGCCCCTTCAGTGGGTGGGCTCCAGAGAGGAGCCTCTGCCGCGGGTCTGGCCCGGGTAGGTGGCTGTTCGGCCTCTCAGTGACCAGCGGTCACACCTGTCTGTTGGCTCTGCTCAACCACATGAACATCCAGCCGTGGATCCAGGGCAGGATTGGGAAGGGGGCTTGCGGCTGTCACAAGAGGGGTGTGGGCTCCGAGCGCTAAAGTGGATGAGCTGGGGGGAGGCCAGCGTGGGGTTGGGGGGTGGGGGGGAGCATGCGGCCGCCTGGGCCCAGACCCAACTGCCCCCACCCTTCCCCCACCCTGCCCCAGGCAGCTCAGGGTTTGGTCTCCCCACCCTGCCCAGAGACAGAGGCAGGGCTCGCCCGGCCTCTCCGCCAGTTCACATCCCTGAGGTGGGGGTCAGACATCAGAACTTCCCCCTCCCGGTGGTGGCTGTTGGGGGGTCTCCCGACCCCCAGGGGCCCAGAAGATACATCGCCCCATCGTCCGTGCGGCACCCACTCTGGTGCTCACCGAGCCCTGGCGGTCACCAACTCCCACCTTACGAGGGAAAAACCAGAGGGCAGGGAGCCTGCCCGCCTTGCGCGAGGTCCCAGGCTGTCCCCAGCCGGACTCAGACTTGGCTGCAGACGTTCCTGGCCAAGCATGTGAGCCTGTCCTGCGCAGGGTTTTGTGTTGAGAGGTTTGGCCAACACGTAAAGAACCAGACAGTTTTCTAGCAAATCCGGGTCACGGCCAGGCGCTGCGCAGCGGTGCCTCCTTCTCTGAGGGCAAGGCTCGGGTCAAGGGCGGGCGTGTGGTTCACTTGAGCGTGACCTCTTGCGTGCGCCCCCACCTCCGTCGTCCCACCTGCACCCACGGCTCCGCCCCGAGGCCCCGTCCCCGAGGCCCCGCCCCGTGGCCCGCCCCCAGAGGCCCCGCCCAGAGGCACCGCCCCCAGAGGCACCGCCCCCACGGCAGGTCCTGGGGCCGCGTCCGCCCGGGCCAGGGAGAGCGGCCGTGAGCCCCTGGACACGAGCAGCTGGGGAGCAGCCGTGGCGTGGCCACCCTGCGCCCCTCCCTGGTCTCGACCCCAGCCCGGGAGGCGGGCGCCTTGTTGGAGGGCTCTGCAGTGACCTGTGGCCCACGCTCCGCGCCGCCCGCTGACCCCTGCGGCCGCGGCCCCTCCGCTGAGGGCCCCGGTTTCGGCCCGGGACGCCCCGGAGCATGGAGCCCTTCCTCAGAAAGCGCCTGGCCTTCCTGTCCTTCTTCTGGGACAAGATCTGGCCCGTGGGCGCGCCGGACGACGGCGTCCTGGGGCTCCCCGACCCGGAGGCCGGCGCGGAGCCAGAGCCCCCTGCCGCAGAGCCCCGCAGCTCCCCGGCGCCCGCGCAGCTCTTCAGGGCGCTGTACGACTTCACCGCGCGGTGCGCCGACGAGCTGAGTGTCAGCCGCGGGGACAGGCTCTATGGCCTCAAGGAGGAGGGCGGCTACATCTTTGCCCGCAGGCTCTCCGGTCCGCCCAGGGCCGGGCTGGTGCCCATCACCCACCTGGCCAAGGCCACCCCGGAGACGCTCTTGGACCAACCGTGAGTATCAGCCTGCTCTGCAGTGTCAGGAGCGAGGACACAAGTGAGTCCTAGGATCGCATGTCCCGACCCACCCTTCCTCCCTCCTGTCCCTCACACCCTCCCTCCCAGCCCTGGACCCACAAGGCCTTGCCACGCGGCGGTGAGTGAGCACACGGGGCGGCGCACACACCCCGGTGACTGTCTCCTGGTCCTG